GAAGGGACACCCCCAGAGCCCGAAACACCGCCAGCACCGGTACCACCCCCAGGCCCGCCGGGACAAGCCCCGACAGGAGCCCCGGGACTAGTACCCACCTCAACGCCAGCACCCCCAGAGTCCACAAACAGTGGCAGCGACGACGGCGGCGGCGGCGGCGGCGGCTGCAGCGACGGCAGCGACGGCGGCGGCGGCGGAGACGACGGCTGCAGCAGCTGCGGCGACGGCGGCTACGGAGGCGGTGGAGGAGGAGACACCGGGGGAGGGACAGACGGCGAGGACTGCGCCAAAGGACTACCAGAGGCAGAAGACTCGTCGACCGGAACGACCGACGGGAGGGGGGTGACGTGAGACACACCAGAGGGGGCCGGACGGGGGGGCGGGGGGGGGGAGGGGCAGGGGCCACCAGGGAGGGAGGAACCAGGAACAGGGGGGGAGTAACCAGGGGACCACGGTGGGGAAAGTGGCGGTAGAAGGAGACGGACTCGTCAAAGGTGACGTCGCGAGAGTGAAAGAAACGGTGAGACGGCGGGTGGTAGAAGTGCTAGTCGGACGCGTCAAGGGGGAAACCAAGGAAGACGCAGGGGAGGGTGCGGGCAGTGAGCTTGTCCGTGCCAGAGGCACGAACGTGAGCAAGGCAGCCCCAGACGTGGAACGCAGACGCGTCACCAGGGGACCCGGTCCACAGAAGGGTCGGCGAAACCTGCGGCCGCTGGGGGTGCGGCCACAGGTTAAGCTGGTGAGCGGCGTAGCGCACGGCGAACGGCCACAGAAAATGGGGTGCACCGGCGTGGATCATGGAGGTGCGAGCCACCTCCATGACCAAACCGATGCGTCGCTCAGCGACCCCATTCTGCTGCGGGGAGTCCGGCAGGGTAAACGTCTGGGTGATGCCCTCCGCACGACAGAAGCGACCAAGGACACCTGAGGCGAACTCGCCACCCCGGTCGGAGTGGAGGCGCAAGGCAGGGAGACCGCGGTGGAGACGAGCAGAGACAAGCCAGGGGATGAGAACGTCAGGCACGTCGGCCTTCCGCTCCTGGGGAAAGACGGTGGTGTAACGTGTGAAGTCGTCGACAAGCACTAGGAAGAAGCGCTCGCGACGCGGCCCATGGACCGGGGCTGGGCCCCAGACGTCCATGTGCAGAGTCTGCAGGGGTGCGGTGGTAGGGGGAAAAGAGGAGGAGTGAGGGGCACGGCGGAGCCGGCCCTCGACACAAGGCGTGCACGGTGGGGCGGGGGATGAGGGAAACTCAGGGAACGAACCGGGGAGACCAAGGACGAGACCGTGCTGGGACATGTGACGCAGACGCGGGAGTGCAGGGTGACCAAGGCGGTGGTGCCAAAGGAGAGTCGGATGAGTGAGGGACCGACAGGAGCACGCAGCAGCAACCTGGGTGGACGCAGCTACCTGGGGGGAAGACCCAGCCGGGGACGTCGCGGTGTCAAGTGTGAACAGGCCGGACACCGGGTCCCGGGGGAAAGTGGTAAGGGGGACACCAGTGGCGGCCTCGGTACAGACAGCATACCGCTCGTGACCAGGGAACGTAGTGGTGACGCCAAGGTCCTGGAGGCAGCCGACACCAACTAGGTTCCTGGAGAACGAGGGGATATGCAGACCGGTGAGCGAACCTGAAGGAACCGCCGGACAGGGAAGGGAGGTGGAACTGCGGGCAACGACGGGACCACCGGAGGGGTCAGCAAGAGTAACTGCAGCGGGAACAGGCAGCGGCGTCAGCGTCGTGGAGTCGCGGAAGAAACACCGGGAGGCGCCAGAGTCCAAGGTGAAGGAAAGCGCAGCAGTCGCGCGGGGCGACAGTGAAGCGGTGGAAGCACCGAGGCTAAGCAAAGCAGGAGATCCTACGCCTGACGCAGCAGGGGAGTCTACGCTAGGCACAGCTACACTAGGCAACACGGGGTAATAAGAGGGAAGCACACTAGAGTCATCGGCATACATCACATGCAAGGCTGCTACAATGGCATCCATGTCCAAGTCAAAAATCCGAATGCTACGCCTAAGCAAGCTGTGCCAGTCCGGGAGGTCGGGCGCCGGGCCAAAGCGCTGGCGAAACAGGTCGTCCAGACGACGAAAACAGCGAGGAGTGGAATGACCGATCTTACCGCAAACGAAGCCGCGGCGAGGACCGGTCTGGATCTGGTACTGACAGGGCCCGCCTCCAGAACCACCACCCGGTGCACCACCACGCGCACGACCACCACCAGCTCCAGGCCACCCAGGCGGGAGAGCACTCGCCGGCCTCGTCTGCGGCGGCTGCTGCGGCTGCTGCGGAGGCTGCTGCTGCTGCGGCTGCTGCAACGGTGGAGGCAGCGGGGCAGCTGGACCGGGCAGGGTCCCCACGTCCGCACCGGCACCGGACGACCCGCCTCCACCACTACCCCCACCCGCACCCCCGCCACCCCCGCCGCTCCCAACCTTGGGGCGGCGGCCCTTCCCCGAGCGGGACTGCACTGCAGCAGCAGTCTCAGCCACAGCGACAGAGCCGTCGGAGAAGGTACACTGAGCGGGGGCACAACCCTGAAAGATAGGGACCGGTACTGTACCGCTCGCCTGGGCTATGGAGCGGTGACGAGTCTCTATGGCAGTCAGGGTGTCAACAAAGTCGGTGAGGGTGAGAGCAGCAGGGTGGATGCTAAGGAACTGGTCGCGGGCGGCGGCAAGGCGGTCAGGGAGGCGGGTGGCAAGGAGGTAGAGGGTAGAGGTCATGGGAGGCTGGTGGACTCTAAGCTGTGCATCAGTGCAGGCAGCGCGCCAGGCCTCATCTATCGAGCGCAGGTGGGCAGCGAGGTCAGAGACAGTGGGGAAGGACGCCAGGTCAGGAAAGAGCAGGGGGAGGATCAGGCGACCCACTGAGGCAGCAGGAGGGGTAGAATAGCGCTTGATGACAGCATCGAGGTAGGCCTGGGCGGTAGAAATGGTTCTAAAGCGAGGGCGCTCAAGGGGGGGAGGGCATTGCTAATGGCGAGCTGAGCAAGGGCATCGCGGGAAAGCCAGACAGAGCGGGCAAGGGCAGCGGCCGCAGTGGACTCGCGCTCAGCGGGCGTGGGATCAGCGGGCAGCACAGCAGGGGGGTCAGGGCAGGGGAGCATACCGTCTAGGTGTGCAGAAAGCGGGTGGCCGTCCTGCCGCTGACCAGTGAGGTGGCGGCGAAGGTCAGCCAACCACGCCTCGAACTCCAGAGGCTGACCCTCAGCATCAAAACGAAGCTCAGCAGCCATGAGGGGCAGTGGAGGACAGTAAGGTGCGGTGTAGTGCTGTGCAGTGCGGTGCAGGGCGGTGCAGTGCGGTCCAGTGCGGTGCAGTGCGATGCAGTGCGGTCAGTGCGGTTCAGTGAGGTGCAATGCGGTGCAAGGCGGGGCAGGAAAGTGCAGGAGGGTGCAAAGTGGTGCGGGGAACGGGGGACAGTACCAGGAAGTATGGAGGGCCGGGGCAGGCGCGACGGGGCCGGGCAGGCGCGACGGGGCCGGGCAGGCGCGACGGGGCCGGGCAGGCGCGACGGGGCCGGGCAGGCGCGACGAGGGGCCGGGTGGCTGCGACGGGGCCGGGCGGCAGCGACGAGGCCGGGCGGCTGCGACGGGGCCGGGCGGCTGCGACGGGGCCGGGCGGCTGCGACGGGGCCGGGCGGCTGCGACGGGGCCGGGCGGCAGCGACAAGGCCGGGCGGCAGCTACGAGGCCGGGCGGCAGCGACAGGGCCGGGCGGCAGCTACGAGGCCGGGCGGCAGCGACAGGGCCGGGCGGCAGCGACGGGGCCGGGCAGGACACAGCAGGGCCGGGCGGGGTCGACGGGGCCGGGCGGGCGCGACGGGGCCGGGCAGGGGCGACAGGGGCCGGGCAGCTGCGACAGGGGCAGGGCGGGCGCCACGGGGCCGAGAGGCTGCGACAGGGCCGAGCTGGGGCGACGGGGCCGAGCAGGGGCGACGGGGCCAAGCAGGGGCGACGGGGCCCAGGAGGGTGGATACGGGGCCCAGGGAGGAGCGCGGCAGGGCCCAGGAGGGGCGCAACAGGCCCAGGAGGGGCGCTACGGGCCCAGGAGGGGCGCAATGGGGGCCCAGGAGGGGCGCGGCGGGGCTCAGGAGGGGCGCAATGGGGGCCCAGGAGGGGCGCTACGGGCCCAGGAGGGGCACTACGGGCCTAGGAGGGGCGCGACGGGGCCTGGGAGGGGCACGACGGGGCCCAGGAGGGGCGCTACAGGGCCCAGGGAGGGCGCGACGGGTCCCAGTAGGGGCGCTACGGAGCCCAGGAGGGGCGCGACGGGGCCTGCGAGGGGCGTTACGAAGCCCAGGAGGGGCGCTACGGAACCCAGGAGGGGCGCGACGAGGCCCAGGAGGGGCGCGACGGGGCGCTACGGGGCCTGTGAGGAGCGCGACGGGGCCCAGGAGGGGCGCTAAGGGGCGCGACGGGGCCCTGGAGGGGCGCTACGGGGCCCAGGAGGGGCGCGAAGGGGCGCGACGGGGCCCTGGAGGGGCGCTACGGGGCCCAGGAGGGGCGCTAGGGGGCGCGACGGGGCCCTGGAGGGGCGCTACAGAGCCCTGGAGGGGCGCGACGGGGGCCTGGAGGGGCGTTACGAAGCCCTGGAAGGGGGGGGCGCGACGGGGCCTGGAGGGGCGCTACGAGGCCCTGGAAGGGGGGGGCGCGACGGGGCCTGGAGGGGCGCTACGAGGCCCTGGAAGGGGCGCGACGGGGCTAGGAGGGGCGAGGCGAGGCTAGGAGACGCGACAGGAGGAGCGGAAGCGGTAGGTGGGGGGGGGGGGGGGGGGGGGGGGGTCGAAACCTACTCGTGATACCATATCAAATCTAGAATTTTTAATAATAAGAGAGAGAGAGTACACAAACATATACCTAAATGTTGTACTCTCTAGAAGGTGACCCTATACAGTCTATACAAACAAGATAACTACACATGTTTGACATCTACAACTGCTTTCTTATCTTCTATATATTGCTGCATGCTTGTTTCTTTAGTCAATCACTTGTTCTCACATACTAGTACAAGGGTTCAACTGCCTCAACTTCCGCTGCACTACTCAAGTCTCATTTTACAACTGGGACTTAGTCTCTGGAAAGATCCTAAGGGCTTTTATCAGCCCAACAGGTTGGAACTTGGGAGGACTCGACTGCTTCCTCTAGGGATGGTAGGTGACAGTAGTGTACCTCAAATACCTTCCACTCCAATCAGGATGCAGTATAAGGTAACACCTGCAAATGCACCATAATAGCAACGCAGCCAGATGGGCTACACCTTCAGGAGAAGACTCCCCTTTTATTCTAGGGTGGAGAGGCAGCACGCCACAGAAGCTACAGCCTAGTCTATGAAACTCCGCATGAGCCGGCCCTTGTCACCTAGTCTTCCAAGCACAAAGCTGTGATGCGCACTCTCTGCTGTGCTGCACGCACCGCGCGGTTCCTACGCTCTTGCACGGGCAGCCCTATCACCCGGTCACACACCACCTCTCAGCCACCTTTCAACCAACCTCCTCTCCCCCCTCCCTCTGCCTCTCACCTCCTCTACCCAACGCCCATCTCCTCTCCACCACCTCAAGAGCGCCTGGCATTTTCGGTTGACGGCTGGTGAGCGCAGATTGCACTGCCACCTGGGTCAAACGCGGACCTTGGGAGATCCGACGGGCCTCGGGCGACACGGAAGAATGCGCGAGGTGCAGCTCGGTTGAACGCGGGGTTGCCCTTTGAAGCCTCCACGCCTCGGCTGTGGAAGGCCATGGGTGGGTCCGCTGCGCGCGCTGCCCGTCACACGCGGCCGAGCCCTATTCGTCTTTCGCCTCGTCGCCGTCCTCCGCCAAACCTTCCTCCTCCTTCCCCGCACTCGCCGATTCTTTCGCTCGCGCGCGCTCAATCGCCTTCCGCTTCCGCGCGGGCAGCGCAGCGAAGGCCTCCTCTTCCGCCTTGCGCTGCGCCTCCTTGGCGGCCTGCGCGCGCTCCCACTGGCGCTGGATCTCGTTGGCGTGGCGGCGCGAGAGGATGTACGCGAGCACGACGAGGCAGCACGCCTGCACCGGGCTGATCAGCCGCAGCAGCGCCAGCGCGCCCGGCGCCACCGCCAGCAGCACGTACTTCCACTGCTGCGATCGCGTCACCTCCATGGCGGCACGCGGAGACGGCGGGGGACGAGGCCTGAGACGCGCGAGGTGGGTGAGAAAGGTATCCCAAGAAGGTCACAAGGGAGGCACGTGGGTTGGAATCACGTGGGTCGTTGGAGTTTGGTTCCTCCAACCCGAGCAGGGCTGGTGAACCGCAGTTGGCCAGCAGAAGCCGATATTGTTGAAACGGGTAGTGGGAAGCAGGAGCAGTTCAATAAAAAAGAATTATATACAAGAAACAAGAAAAGCAAGCTAATCCTAACAAGAAACTTGAGGGTACTGTATATGCACATGGAGAACCAAAGAGAGCTACTGATGTCTCGCGTTTTGAATTCAGAAATTGTAATCCTCTGCTGCATGAACACCGGACCGGAGCTTGCCACGCCCTTGAGGGCAGCACGGAGAAACAGAAAGTCACTGGCCAACTGCTCAAACTGCAAGCATCAACAGATGCCAAAGCAGCACGACACTGTAAATAAGAGCCAGGCAACATAACCAAAGCAGCAGTGAACCAACATTGATTAGCCAGACAGCCACTTAAAGATTGAAAATGAGTCGGAACAAAAGCCAACCATGACAGGCTCTAGCCAAGCTGGATGCTGCATCTGGCACAGGAAGAGAGGTGTTCCAAAGCAGAAAGCGTGAAGACGCACACATGACCTGCATACATACCTTCCGCCCTGTCAGGGGATGGCGAGATGCTGGTGAGCGACACGCGAACAGTGCCCTTCCCCGCCTCGGACTCGCACACCACCGCCTGCACTGCCTGCCCCGCCACCTCCACTCTCACCCCCACTGTGCAACCCCCCTTCTCGTCCCCTACTCCCCTCCCCTCCTCCGCATCCCCTCCCCTCTTTCCTTGCATCAAACCTACTTGGCACTCGTCTTCTTCCTCTTCCTCCTCCTCCCCCCCCCCCTCCAGCACCCCCTTGGGCGGGCGTGGCACGATGACGAAGTCAGAGAGGGGGTCGTAGAGGGGGTCCTTGCCCTTGACCTCCAGGAAGAAGTGCAGCAGGCTGAACACGCGGGGCAGCCGCAGCAGCTCCCGGTGCTCCGCGCCCGGCACGCCCACACGGAATCGGGCAGGAAAGCCGTCCGCCTGCCCGCATGCACGGGGCGGTTGGGGTGGGTTGGAAGGCGTGGAGGGTTGAAAGCGGGGAGTTGCATGAAGGAGTGGCATGAGAGAGGGAGGGGAGGATGGGAGGGAGGAGGGGGAGGCGAGCATGCAAGACACTAGATGGGGCAACGGCGAGGCAGGACAGACGGAGTGCATGCACGGGCAAAGCAGCTTACCAGGGCGGACTCGATGGGAACAGTGCCGTCGCCATGCACGCAGTCAAAGGTGGCCTGATGGATAGCAGCGGCAGGTGGGAGGGAAGGGCGAGAGGGGAAGACAGGTTGGAAGAGGCTCCAAGTGTGGGGAGCGCCAGAGGCAGGCGGGGCACAAGGCGGGCGGAAGCGGGGACGACTTGTGAGGCGCCTCACAAGGCAGGCAGAAGCGGGGACGCAGCACAGCGCACAGCACAGACACAGCGCACAGCACAGACACAGCGCACAGCGCACACAACGCAGGAGAGATTGGAAGGGGTGGGTGAGCAGCGGCTCACATCGGAGTGCAGGATGTCGGGCAGGTCGTTGAGCGGGTCCTTGGGGGAGCCGTACCTGCAGTCGGGGGGCGCGGGGGGGAGGGGGGAGAGAGAGCAGTACGATACGCGAGTGTGAGGGCCACGACCGATGGAAATTGGAGGACGGAGAGACCATGTTGGGAGAATGAGTACGGATGGAGAAGGTAAGCAAAGGCGAGGGGCATACTGCGAGTGGAAGGGCGTGTCGAGGCCCGTGCCATAGATGGTGTAGAAGTCCACAGACGGAGGCAGGCGCGCCTTGGCCCAGATGCGCCGCGTCTCGTCCGCCCACCGCACGATGTCCCGGTTGAACGGCAGCGGCACGGTGCGCCCGTTCACCTCGATCTGCTCGCTCCGATGCAAGGGGCACAGCATGATGCAAGGGGCACAGCATGCAACGTTAGGAATGTAAGATGCACATGGCGTGACAAGTCCGGGTGGAGAAACAGCAAATCTTAGCAAGCGCCTGGCAGCAGCCACAGCCCGCCTTACACCCAACCGTTCACCTTGTTGTCCTGCAGCGCGCGGTCCATGGCGTCGAGGATGTCCGGCAGGTGTGTGAAGCGCTGCTCCACCACGCCCTCGCCCAATAGGCCCTCCTTCACACCGCCGCCCAGCAGAGTCTCTTTCGCTCCCTCCCCAGCAGCTCTCTCCGGGCTGCCACCCCCCGACAGCGACAGCGTGTCCGCCACGCTGCTCGCCTCGCCGCTGCTGCTCGCGCTGTCGCTGCTGCTGCCGCTCTCGCTGCCGCTCTCGCTCTCGCTTTCGCCGCCCCCCTCAGCGTCCCCTCCGCCACACGCGGCCCCTCCACCGTCCCTCCCCTCCTGCGCGCCCTGCACCTTGTTGTCCCCCGGGCGGCGGCGCACGACCCTGAGCTCGGGCTTGTTGCCGCCCCAGTGGAAGTCGTAGTCCGCCATGAGCTCGTACACCGACGGGCACTCCACCATCTGCCGCGCCACACACGAGACGTGCACGAGGGCGTGGGGATGGCGCGGTCACAGGTGCAAGGGATGGGATGAGCAATAACGAGGATGCGGTGTTCCAAGAAAGGCAACGGGTGGGGGAAGTAGGTGCAGGACGCCAGTGAATAATACAGCCACGAGTGGTACATAACGAGAGAGAGGCACGGACGAGCTGGTGCATGGTCCATACCAGTTGGTGCATGGTCCACTTGGAGATGAAGAGCGACTTCTGCCAGCCCTTGAGGAACTCCACGCCCGTCAGCAGCGTGTCCATGATGAACCCCGGCGCGCCTGCCGCACGGCCAAACACGCAACGCAACGCAAGGGGGACGCGCACGGAGGGAGGAAGGGGAAGTGGTAAGGCGAAGCGGTGATGCGTGGAAATTAGAGGCATGGGGAGAGAGAGGAAGCGCGCGGAGTGGCAGCCAGCACGGGAGTAGCGAAGCGATGCACCGAACCGACGCCTGTCCCGCACCACTCCGTGCGGATGTGCCTAGCCAATCCGCACCGCACCCCTCGCGCACCTCCCCCATACGCGCGCAGCTCTTCCCCGCGCCCACGTTCCCACCCCCCGCTTGCCTCTGAAGGGCGCGGCGATGGCGACCCACTTGCGCACGAGGCGCTTGACGTCCGCCGGGTGCAGCGCGGCGAGCGACTTGAAGAGCAGCCCGCCCATGCTGTGCGTCACCACGTCCACCCGCCGCCCCGTCGCCGCCACTATCGCCTCCAGCCGCGCGCGCAGCCGCTCCAGCGTCTCGGGCAGCCTGCCACGTGGATACAGGGTTACGGGTGGAATTCGACAAGCGCTTGAATGTCTCGATCAGTTAGCTATTAAAATTAAAGAGAACTGAAGCGCGTAAGGTTGAAGGTTAAGCAAAAAGAGGTTAACAGGAGCAGACGCGGAGGCTGACCGGTTGCTCTGGCGGAAGTCGTAGCCGAAGCCGAAGAGCGACTCGCCGTCCTTGAAGCCCCACTGGCGCATCTCGACGACCATGTGGTGGTAGTAGCACACCACGTCCACCGGTACCGACTGCCGGGGGTGTGAGGGGGGGGGTTGTGAAGATGAGAGAGGCGTGAGCTGAGGTGGAGGAGATCGTTGCACACATAACATGGCGTGAGCGCGATACGGAGCGGAACGCATTCACGAGCAAAGGAAGAAATCACACGCAGCTCGCAGAAGCAGGGAGGCGAGCAGAAGCTCGAGGCGCGGTGCTCACGACATCGGGGTCGAGGATGTCGCAGCTGTAGAGCCCGTGGTTGTCGTCCGGCACCTCGATGTGCGACTCGCGGTCCAGCGACTCCGTCTTGCCTGCCACCCACCACATCCGGGGAACGGGTGAAGGGGTGAAGGGGAAGGTAAGTGGACTGGAGGATGGAATAAATCGTTGCTCCCGCACTGAAGTGGCCTAACCTGTTTCGGGATTGTACTTGGACCATAGCTTGGTACGAAACTCCTGATCCGCGTTATAGAGGCGGACCCATATCCGCTCCTTCTTCTTCCCGTCGTTGCTGATCGCGTTCAGAATAGAGCCTCCAATCCCCGGTATAAGCAGCACCGGATTAAACTCCGCTGCCGTATCATGAGGCTTCGGTCGTGGCTTGGGCCACCATGGTCGCCAGCCAACCATAGCTGCACTCTAGGCTGGAAAGACTAGCTTCTACGGCGACTAAGTTGAAACCCTAAGATTGTGTGACTCTGGCTGGGCTGGCGACCTGCAAGCGGTGGCTGAAATGGGTGAGAGATGAAGCACACAGAAGCAGCGGGGTGGAGGCGTTGCACCGTACTGCACCGGAGTGGAGTGGGCTCGCTCGGCTAAAGGAACGAAACGAAACTGGTGGAGGTGGATTGATGAGCACCGCACCCCTGCCTGTCCGAGCCACTTTCCGAGCCACTTGCTCCAAACCTTCTCGCCGGGCCTCTGCTTCCTGCCACCGCGCCCGACGGGGAGTCCCTCCAGCTGCTGCTGACGACGAGACTTGTGTGGCAGCGAATCGATTGGCAAAACGTGGCGAAATTTGACGTCCCGTCAGCTCAAGCCTGGACGATATGACGGTGCAGCCGTTACCTGCCTCAAGAGGTTCGCGAAATCCTGAAGACACCCCCTCTTCGGCGAAATGCGAGCGTCGTGTACTGTGCTGTACTAAAAATCTCGTGTGTTCGTTGCTGTTTGTTACCCGAATTCTAACGGCATCCCCAACCTCGATAAAACTTTCAACGCTGAGATGTTCAAAACAAACCATGCTTGAGTGTTCGCCGTAGGATACGGTTTCCAGGTTCAACGATCCACTCCACACGCACCCCTTCTTAGTCTGTCGGTCGCCAGAGCAATGTTGCCGACGTTACCTCGCTCGAGCCGGAAGGAGTGACAAGCTGCGACATTTCGCGTATGGTGTCCCTTCAGCCGCGCAACAGCGGCTCCCCCAAGGTCGCTACGCGATCGTCGTCGTCGGATGGCGGCAAGCCGCGCTTTCTGTCGGCCGCCATGTCCGCCGTCACGGAGCGCAACCGCTTCACGGAGATCGTCTTCGCGGCGCTGCTGCTATCCGCTTCGCTGCGCATCTGGCTCGACCTGCGCCTCCACGCCCCGCGCGCCGCCTCCCTCCCCTGCCACACCGACGGCTCGCTTCAGCTGACCGACCAATCGGTGTCAGCCACGTCAGCATACCGCAACGACAGCGTCGTAGCGCTGCCCGGTCGCGCGTGGCGGCTGCCGGCGGGAGTAGCGCGGTCGTACGGCGGGCTGGGCGGCGGCAAGGTGGACCCGGCGCGCTTCCGCCTGCACGTGAAGGTGCTGGTCTTCGACCGCCCCGCGTACGCCCTGCGCTGCCTGCGCGCGCTGGCCGACGCGCTGTACGACGCGGAGCCCGTGTACCTCGACGTCTTCGTCGACCACCCCTTCGCGCTGCGCGCCGACGCCGCGCCCTGGTCGCCGCGCACCGCCAGACGCGTGGCGGCCTCCCATTCGCTGATGGCGCAGATCGACGCGTTCGCGTGGCCGCACGGGCCGAAGCGCGTGATGTACCGGTCGCAGAGCGCGGGGCTGCAGGGGCAGTGGGTGGAGGCGTGGTGGCCAGAGAGCCTTGCTGACGTGGCGCTGATAGTGGAGGACCACGTGGTGGTGTCGCCCCTGTACTACCGGTACCTGAAGCGCCTGCTGGCGCGGTACTACTTCCGGCGCGGCGAGTTCGACCCGCACATGCTGGGCGTCTCGCTGCAGCGCCAGTCCTTCGTGCCTGGCCTGGGCGGGGACCCCCTCCCCCGCTGGCGCACAGCGCGCCGTTTCTCTACACCCTCACGGCACGTGGGGGCAGGCGCTGCTGCCCGGCCCTTGGCAGCAGTTCCGCGTGTGGCTGGACGAGCGACGCTACAACGGCAGCCGGCAGCCGACTGTGGGGGGACTGAAGACCACGCAGTGGTTCAAAGATAAGGTGGGGGGGGGGGGAGGGGGAGGAGAGATTGAGAGGACAGGAGGAGTTCAGGTCGAGCCAGACACGCCATTGCATCGCTACCCTCCACCCCCTTAGCTTCCATGGCCGTCTCCGTCCGCCATCCCCGTCGTCCTCCTGCCCTCCGCCCCCTGCTCCCCTTGCTTTGAGGCGCCTCAAAACTAGACTCCTGCCCTCCGTCCCCTGCTCCCCTTGCTTTGAGGCGCCTCAAAACTAGACTCCTGCCCTCCGTCCCCTGCTCCCCTTGCTTTGAGGCGCCTCAAAACTAGACTCCTGCCCTCCGTCCCCTGCTCCCCTTGCTTTGAGGCGCCTCAAAACTAGACTCCTGCCCTCCGTCCCCTGCTCCCCTTGCTTTGAGGCGCCTCAAAACTAGACTCCTGCCCTCCGTCCCCTGCTCCCCTTGCTTCCAGGCGCCTCAAAACTAGACTCCTGCCCTCCGTCCCCTGCTCCCCTTGCTTCCAGGCGCCTCAAAACTAGACTCCTGCCCTCCGTCCCCTGCTCCCCTTGCTTCCAGGCGCCTCAAAACTAGACTCCTGCCCTCCGTCCCCTGCTCCCCTTGCTTTGAGGCGCCTCAAAACTAGACTCCTGCCCTCCGTCCCCTGCTCCCCTTGCTTCCAGGCGCCTCAAAACTAGACTCCTGCCCTCCGTCCCCTGCTCCCCTTGCTTCCAGGCGCCTCAAAACTAGACTCCTGCCCTCCGTCCCCTGCTCCCCTTGCTTCCAGGGCAACCGGCGGTGGTCGCCGTGGGCCATCAAGTGGGCGTACAGCCACGCCATGCTCTCGCTCTACCCGCCGCTGCCCGCCAACCTCTCCCTCGCCTTCCCCCTCAAGCGCTCCGCATCCCCCGCCGACGCCCCCCTCGTGCCCCTGCTGCCGGGGATGGGCGCACCTGGAGGGAGGGCACAGCTGGGGGGCACGGGTGGAGGAGGCGGGGGCGGAGAGGAGGGGGGCGGGGAGGGGGGGGTGGAGGGCGCAGTGAGGGCGTGGGTGGAGGGGCGGCTGCCGCGCATGGCGCAGGTGCGGCGCTTCGACCTGTGTGCGCGCCAGCTGAGGCACCTGCCCGTGGGGCGGTCGCTGGACGATCTGCACTCGCTGCTGGCCGCCACGCACCAGGTGCGCTGCTTCCGGTTGTAGCGGGCGCTCTGTGGCTCGTGCTCCTCGCTCAGAGATGCGACTGGCACTCACGCACTGCTCCATGCCGCGCCCTGCTGCTCGCCGCTGCCCTCACACCCCCTGCTGCCCACGTGCAGTCACTGTATCCCCTACCGCTTTCTGCCCGGTACATGCCCCCCACCTCCCCTCATCCCCCCTCCCTGGCAGGACAAGCGCGTCTCGCTGGTGGTGGTGCCGCGGGGATCCAAGGACCTGCTCAACAACTGGCTCTGCCACCTGGACGGCAGCGGCCTGCGCTCATTCGTCCTCATCGTCCCCCATGCCAGCCTGGCAGCTGAGCTGTCCGCACGTGGCCTCGCAGCCTTCCACCTGCCGCCAATCAGCAGGCGCCAGGCGGCACAGGGGCTGGGGCAGCTGGCAGCGAGGGGAGGGTTGAAGGCAGTGAGGGAGAAGGAGGTGCAGGGGGGGATGGAGGAAGGGGAGGAGGGGGAGGAGGTGGACGCTGGTGGAGCAGTGGAGGGGGAAGGGGGGGAGGAGGAGGAGGAGGAGGAGGAGGAGGAGGGAGGGCATGCAGAGGGGGGACGGGCGCAACTGGTGGACGGCGCGGCACATTAGAGGTGGTGGGGCGGCGCCTTTCGCAGGGCTTTGATGTGTCCCTCAGCAACGTGGACGCCGTGTGGCGGGGCGACCCCATGGCCACAGACGCCCAGGGGCTCATCCCTGCTGACGTGGACATGTGGGGCCACCTCAACACTGCTGATGTGGCCTCCAGCTATTTTGTGATTCGCTCCCGTGCTGCTACAGTGTCAGCATGGGGCCAGCTGGCAAAGCTGTGTGCGCAGGCGTCCAAAGGGGGAGCCAAGGGGGGCATGGACAGGGGGGAGGTGGGGTGTGGGGAGCCCGGGAGTGGCGTGCAGCAGAGGCAGATGCGCGTGCTTCTGACTCAGGCAATGCACTTCAAAGAGGTGCCCTCCATACCCTTCACACGCGACGGAGCCGCGCGAGTGCCCAAAGGCACACTGCTGCGCCTTGCTACCACCCCAATCCCTGACGAAGGGTGGTAAGGTAAAAGCAATGGACAGCATTGGACTTGGGTGATTGATGACTTTGACCTTGCCTGTAAGGCTGTGACATGCAAAAGGAGGTTGTATACTGCTGGTTCTGATTAATACGAGTGTATTCTAGATTGGAAGTATTAAATTCCGGGGGGTCATCCGTTCGCTAACTTCGTCATCGTCGTCGGTATGCCTGCGGTTCGTGAACCCTCGCTGGGGGAGTTGAGAGGTGGGCAGCGGTTGCGTGTGTGGCTGGGAAGGCAGGAGGGTCGAGGCGCGATAGGGGGGGATGTGGCGCTGTGCTGGCATGGGGATGCACCGGATGGCGGATTGGCGGGGAGCGTCATCTGAAATTTGCAGTCCACTCGCGCCCCGCAGGACGAGTGAGAGTGAGGCGCGCAAATAAATGTCCGACACAAATTGGCAATGTCGCGGTGCATGCACCTCCTGCCTCGGCAACGCTGGCTGCCCAGCCATGGCTGCTCGCTTCAACCACTCACTCTCACGACCTCCGCCCCTGGACTGGGAATTCGACTGAGTTACATCCACACCGACGACGAAGAAGGTCTCTCACCCTTCCTAATCTAAAGCGAGCAAGGAATTAGCTCCAGACTGAAACGTCGCTCTCATTTTCCCGCTCGCTGTCACTTCGCCCCTCTGCACACACTGTGAGTGCTGGCTGCAGCACGGGGAGACTGTTCAACCCGGTGGTAGGAGATGCAGAGTCGGGTAGAATGAACGCGGTTATGGCGAGCCCACGCAGTCGCGCCACGGCAATGGGTACCGCCCAGTGCGGCGCATACATGGAGACGAGGCAAGAGTTTTGTGGGGGCAAATTCAATGGCGGGCGGCGAATGCGGAATTGAGGAGCCGCAAGCCCTTTGGTGCGTGGCAGCAGTCGCATCGCACTCGCACTCGCACTCGCACTCGCACATGCTATCTCATGCCATGCGTTAGCCTCTCTTTGCGCGCACATTGGTTCAACAATTCCGCTGTGTTGATTGGCGCCGGTTCTACGAATTACTGGTGCGCTATGAAGCTCAACCATATAGAACTTTCGCCCGCACCGCTCCGCACTGTGCCGCTCGTTGCCTAAGCTACTTCTTGCCGCTCACCTGCGCCCCTGCACTTCCCCAGGTCCGGCCTTCAAGCGGCCATGGCATCGCCCGGCGGCATCGCCGCGTGGAGCCAAGGCACTGCGAGTGCACGCGGCGTTTGAGCCTCGACGCCAGGTGGTGAGTCGCTTGCTGCCGTCGCCGTCCGCTGCTCATTCCATTTCGCTCCGCCTTCCTCCGCATGCCCCCCTCGTCCGCCCCGCTGGCTTGTGTGCCGCGCTGCATGCTAATTCCGGCTCAGCCGTTCCGCCACCCCTGCGTCTTCTTCCCCCTCCAGCAGCACCGCCACCGCTCAAGATCCCTTCTCGCTGCTCTCCACCGTTCCGCACTCCGCGCGCCGCCGCTGGAGGAGAGTCTCGCGATGGCGGACGAGGCGGGCGGAACGCGGCGGTGGAGACACGTGAACTCGGAAGGGACTTGCGCGGCTGTCGAAGCGCCCTCAACCCCCAATCGCCTGGTGCGTGCGCGCGGCGTCAGTGGTGCCAAGGGCGCCCTCCTCTGCCGCCCCTCGTCAACTGAAACTCCTTCCTTCTGCCCGGTAACCACGCCCTCCCCTCCCTCGCCCGCCCGCCCCCCCCTCCCTGCAGGCGTCCCGCCTGGGCGTGCTCATCCTAACCGCGGCGGCGGCAGCGGCGGCGGGGGCGGGCATGTCGGCGCAAGCCGTGCAGGCGGAGGCCGTGCAGGCGGAGGCCGTGCAGGCGGAGGCATTGCAGGTGAGAGTGCCGGGGGGGCGGTATGTCCGGCGGATGATGGCGGGCGGGTAGACAAGATCCCTGGTGCCGCTGGCTCGTCGTTCTTATTCGTCCTCTGCCCGCCCGCCGCTCCGTTATCTCCGTGTCCGCCCACCAGGCTCCGACAGCAGCTACGCCCACTGGGGCGCCTGTGCCGTCCGCAGCACTGGCGGTACCGGAGGCAGACTGCCAGCGGCAGCAGCGTTGCAGCTGCCGCCTGTAGCGGCGGTTGCTGCTGTTGCCGTGCCAACCGTCGGTCCGATTGGTAGCAGTCGTTCTCCACGTCAGCAGACAGCTCAGCAGCACGTGGCAGCGCTGGAGGGGCGCGTGGCGCGCATGATGGCGTGGTGCGGCAGGGCAGGCGCGGGCACGCGGGGGGCACGGCGGGCACGGGGCGAGAGGGGCAGGCGGCAACGGCGCAGCAGGCAGAGGTGAGGAGAGGGTGGGATGAGAGTGAGGGGGGCAGGGAGAGGGCGAAAAGGAGGGGCTTCTTGTCTTGCGCTGTGCCCTCCATCCTTCGACTGCCATCCCGCCCTTACTCCCTCCCTATTCGCTCCTCGTGCTCCGCCCCCCCACTCCTTCCCCTTGGCCTGCAGCTGCGGCGGCGAGTGGCGGGCGTGGTGGAGGGGCGCAGGGCGACAAGTGGGAAGCAGCAGGGGGAGGGGGAGGGGGAGAGGGGGCTAGGGCGGTGAGTGTGGAGGAGGTGGGGAGGGGAGTGGGAGGAGCGGGTTCCAAGAGATGGGTGGAGAGGATGTGCGGCGGAGCGGCCATGTGGATTGGCTCAAGGGGATAGCAGGGCAGTACGGCATGGCGCTGCCATCGCCTGCAGGGGCCAGGGGAGGAGCAGCCGTGGCAGCAGAGGCGGAGTCAGCAGCAGCGGCATCAGCGGTGGTGGCGGGGAGGGTGCTGGCGGCATTGAGGGGAGCGGAGCATCTCGCGGGGGCGGCACAGGAGCGCGCCACGGCGCCGGGCTCTCTGCCCCCTGCAGCTGCAGCCGCTAAGACAAGGTTGCAAGCGCCGGAGCAGCAACTGTCACGACTGGAACAAAAGCTGGTGAGTGTGGGGGCGGACAGGGGAAGGGGCAACGAGTTTGGAGCAGCTTTCGATGCTTGTCGCTTCCATGCCTCGTCCCTGCGCCTTCCCTCGCACCGTCATTCCGCCCTCGCCTCGGTGGTGTCTGATGCCGCCGCCTGTCTCTGTCCTGCGTCCATGCATACCTCATGTGAGAGCAGCGCGACGCAGAGGCGAGTCGCGACCGCTACGAGGCGGCGGTGCAGTGGACGGAGGGCCGCCTGGCAGCGCTGGCCAGCCTCGCCCTCACCGTGGGCAGTGCGCCCTCGCCCGCCCTCGCCGCCTCCCGCTCCCACCTGCTCTCCTCTCTCGCCTTCGCCCAGAAGCGAGCGCATGAGGTAAGAACATGCGGGGGCGATGTGATTGGGATGGCAAGATGGCAATGGCACCATGGGGACTGCACAATTGGGATGAAGGATGGGGTATCCCTTTGTTGAGCAGTGAGGATGGTGTGAAGCATGTGTGGGACATGCATGAGACATGCGTGCGAAATCCAAGGTGGCATATGCTGACCTGTCAACTGGTGCTGCTCGTTTCTTCTCGGCCGCCTGTGCCCTGCGTGCGTGCGTGTGTGCGTGCGTGCAGGAGGAGCAGCGAGTCAACCAACTCCGCCAGCAGCTCGCCACCACCTGCAATCTGCCGCATTCCGCCTCCTCCCCCTCTTCCTCGTCCCCATCCTCCTCACCGCCCTCCACCGCACTGCCTCCATTCCAATCGGCCATAACGCCACCTGCGCCCCCAGCCTTCCTCCTTGCACCGTCAACAGCACCCCTGTCAACCCCCCCCTCTACGTCATCACCCCCCTCCGCCTCCTCGCACCCCTCCAAACCAGCTCCGCCTCGCTCGCATTCCCTGCCATCGCGGCCCCTCGCCCACACTTCTTGGCACCCTACCGAGGCCGCTGCCCACGCCACCAGCACCACCCTCACCAGCAGCCTCAGCCCCGCCAGCAGCCTTGCTGCGATGAGCATTCTCCAGCAGGTGAGGTTCGCTCACGCCCTCCCCGGCTGCAGCACTCTGTGCTCCGCATCCGATCAGACCCCGTCCCGCTCGTGTTCGATGCCCCGCTGCACCGCACACCTGCCTCAGGCCCCCCTGATCCCCTGCTTCTGCTGCTCGCACCCCGCTCTGACCGCGTGTGTGTGCGCTTGCACTGTGCTCACCACCTCCTCCCCCCTTTCTCTCCCCCCCCCCCCCTCCCCCTCTTTTCCAATCCCCCCCAGGCGCCAGTGCTGGTGGAGGGGGTGCGGGTGGGGGAGTGGGCGCGGGAGTACGTGGCGGAGTCGGTGGCACAGGAGCTCAGCAAGCGACGCACGGGCCACGGGGGCGGCAACTGATGTGCCAGACAAAGTAGACGCCACAGCAGCCTTCAGCAGGCATATTTCTTTGCTCGTGCAAAGATATGTACATAGTTTTTGTGCTGTATTTCGTTCAATAGCGAAGCCTACAAGGAGACAAACTTTGTGCAATATATTGATGGCATTGGGTTATTTTGGGCCATGTCCACAAGGGCAAGTGGTACAATACGGAAACTGATGTACGACATTGCGAATGACTTTTGCAACATATTGCGCATGACTTTTGCAACGTATTGCACCATGACTTTTGCAACGTAGCTTTAGGATAGCTACTGGTACCTTTCACGTCTATGAAATTTACCACCAGACCCTGCTTTACTCTACGCTATGTACATCATCATCACTCATGGGGTTTGCTTCTGTGGGAACGCAATATGAATGGGCTTGTCCTAAATTCTGTCGGCACTGTTCCTCGGAGAGTGTCATCTCGATACGGGTCAGGAGGACCCGTGAGTGAACATTGGCTGCATTGTGGGCCAATGTTGGTGCTCGCGAACCTTGGGGAATGGTTGGTTTGTGGACCAACGCTGCTGCGGTTCAGGGGAATTCTTCCAGTCAGGTGCTGGCGTGCTGCCCCATCAGAGTTTTTGGAGCCACCAAAAGCAGGATGGTGTGGCGTTGGTTCGAGAGTGGAACTTCGGTGCTGCCCTGATTGGTTAGGTCTGGGTTGGAAAGCGATCAGAGATTTCAGAGGCATGCAGCACGAGTGTACTGAAAGGGCAACTATTGTGGGCTGGATAGCGAGTTTCGCCATGATCAGGGTCTTTCAAATATTGGGGCAAACTCCCTTCTACACCCCCGAAACCCACTTCACCATCAACAAAATTCAGGGGCTTAACCTATCCGAAGCACGGAAAGCACTCTGAATTCTGGAAAGAACCCTTCTGCATTTGAACCCTTTCAGGAATTCCCCTCGTGGAGAAAAGGGTACGACAGAGCCCAAGCGACCACATGGGCAAATCCATGTTCCTGTTTGTGGCTGGCTGTTTCGAATCACAGTCCGCATCTTCCATTCATGGCTCCAGTCCAGCCTATAGATAGCATCAGTGGTTCTCGACTGGTCTAGCAGCACCGCTGCTGTCCGACGCTACCCAGAGTAGCGCCCAGAGTAGCGTCGAGAGTAACGTCCATATTCAGGTGCTATTTTGGCTCCGAGACTCGAGGAGCTTGCGCTGCTAGCCGCAGCTACTGCATGCACTACCGAGGCCAGTAGGGCAATGGTGCCATCCCTTCGCGACCCCGTTTGCCTCGTCTCCATTCTTCGCGCAGCGCGATCGGTAGGGTAGGGAAGACTAAGCTGCCCGCTCCTTTCGGACGCACGCCGTCCCTGCGAGGCCCACCCGTTCTCGTGCAGATTGCCTGCCTCGAGTAACTCCCCCTTTCCTCGGTCCCGAAGGTCTCTCTCGTTTTCTCGAGCCTCCCCTCGGCCTGGCCGTCGGCCGAGCGTGAGACGAGTAGCGGCGAGGCTGATCGGCAGCGGCAGGTGAATGTGTCGCTAGGCGCCGACCAGCGCCACCGCATGGATCCCGCCGCTCCCTCGTCGAGCGGCGATCGCCCGGCGACAGGCGCGGCGGGGGAGGCGGAGAGGCGGCAGCGGCAGCGCGTGAAGCGGGAGGTGTGCGACGAGGTGCTGCGCAAGCTGCGCGAGGCGCGCCACCCGTGCCTGCAGGCCGCCGGCATCGAGAACGACCTCCACGCGCACTTCAACCGCCTCCCCACCAGGCGAGTCGACCTCCCCACCAGGCGAGTCGACCACCGTCTGGCCCCAACCCTTGGCCGCGCTTCGCCGCCGTGGCCACACTCGACTCCATGGGCGCGGTTGCTCACTGGCAGCCAGAGTGACTCGTCGTCCCATCGCTCGGCCTGACCCGTTGTGTGCTGGCGCTGCTTGCGCGTGCGCCTTTGTCCGTGGGATGGCATGGTGCAACAATGCAATGCATGGCGTGACATGGCATGGCGTGCAATGCATGGCGCGCCACGTGGCGGCAGGTACGCGTTGGACGTGAACACGGAGCGCGCGGAGGACGTGTTGACGCACAAGCGCCTGCTGGAGGAGGCCGCACGCCTGCACGGGCTGCCCGTCTTCTTCGTCCGCGCCGTCCGGGTACCACCTCGCGCCCGCGCTCGCGCTCCCCCCTCTCCCCACCCCCCCCCCCCCCCTCCTCCCCCCACCCCCCCGCGCTGCTCGCGCTGCTCTCGCTGCTCGCTCCCTCGTCCATCCCTCATTGCGCCCCCGCTGCCCCTCCCAAGGCATGCCTGGCGCAGCGCCATGCGCGCTTGAGCAAGCCCGCCGCTGAGGTCCCACTGTGCGCCCCTCCGTGCGTGCATTCGTGCTGCGCTCCCCGCAGATGGTGGCGGCGGGCGGCGCAGCAGCGGGCGAGAGGGGCAGCCCGCCAGCATGGACACGGACCACCACCTCCCCGCCGCCCTGCACCCCCAGGGGTAACCGCCCCTCGCACCCCTCCCTCGCCCAGCGCGCTCCTGCTGGCCCGTCCTCTGCCATCGCCGCTTTCACGCCTGCGCGCACGCATCTCCCCCTCCCTCCCCCTTGTCTTCTTCTGCACCTCCCGTTCCTTCCCGCCCATTCTCCTCATCTCCTCATCTCCACGCGTTGCGTCTCTCCAACCTGCCAGTTTGACACACCCCCCTCCCCTCCCCCTCCCCTCCCCCTCCCCCTCCCCCGCCCTCACCCCGCACTCTCGTTCAGCGCGCTAGCGCCGCCAGCGTTTGGGTCGTCGCCGAACCTGGATGCGCCGGTGCAGGGCGGCGGGCAGGGCGCGGGCGCCATGGAGGACGACCAGCATGGGTCCTCAGTACGACCAGCATGGATCCCTCAGGTACGACCAGCATGGATCCCTCAGGTACGACCAGCATGGGTCCCTCAGGTACGACCATACAGGCGCGGTCGACTGGTGGCGGGCACAATGGGGCGTGTGGCGTGTGGCGTGTAGCGTGTGGTGTGGGGCCATGGGTTGAGGCGGTGGTGGTGAGAGAGAGAGGGGCTCTAGAGGCTGCTGCGGCCCTGGATCGGCCAGAGGTGTCTGCTCTCTGGCTCTCTGGTTCTCCTGGCTCTCTGGCTCTCTGGCTCTCTGGCTCTCTGGCTCTCTGGCTCTCTGGCGCCATGAGTGTGGCGCCATGAGGGCAGTAACATGGGTGTGGCGCCATGAGGGCAGTAACATGGGTGTGGCGTTGGCAGCCAGCACCGCCAGTTATCCGCCCACCCCACCCCACCCCACCCCACCCACCCCACAACACATCCACCTTCGCTGCCCCTGCCACCTCATGCCCGTCGCTGCTCCCTCCTGCGCCCTCCCATGCGCCCCTCCCACCGTTTGGCAACCCTGCCCCCTGTGGCAGCGCGCCATACTACAACGTGCCCATGCACGAGGTCACCTTCTCCACCTTCGACCGCCCCAAGCTGCTCAGCCAGGTGGGTGGTACCTGCTCAGCCAGGCCAGTGGTACCTGCTCAGCCAGGTGGGGGATACGTGCTTAGCCATGCTAGTGGTACTGCTCAGCCAGGTGGGTGGTACCTGCTCAGCCAGGCCAGTGGTACCTGCTCAGCCAGGTGGGTGGTACCTGCTCAGCAGGCCAGTGGTACCTGCTCAGCCAGGTGGGGGATACGTGCTCAGCCAGGCCAGTGGTACCTGCTCTGCCAGGTGGGCGATACGTGCTTAGCCAGTGATAAGTGGTCAGGAAGGTGTTTACTGTCCAGCACCACACCATCAAATCCTCTTCCTTTGGACATCCTTTCCCTTTGAACCCCCTCCCATCCCCTCCCTCCCATCCCCTCCCTCCCATCCCTCCCTCCCTCCCCCCGCTCCCCTCCCCCCTCCCTTCCGCCTGTGGTGGCAGCTGTCGGCGGTGCTGGCGGACGCGGGGCTCAACATCCGCGAGGCGCACGTCTTCTCCACGTCCGATGGGCTCTCCCTCGACGTCTTCGTCGTCGACGGCTGGCCCACCGAGGTGCGCCTAGCACCCCACCCAGGTGCGCCTTGCACCACACCAGTGCGCCTTGCACCCCACCCCAGGTGCGCCTTGCACCACACCCAGGTGCGCCTTGCAGCCCACCCAGGTGCGCCTTGCAGCCCACCCAGGTGCGCCTTGCACCCCCCGAGGTGCGCCTTGCAGTCCTCCCAGGTACGGCCCACCCAGGTACGGCCCACCCAGGTACAGCTGTCGCCTTGTGGCGCCATGCCCCTCCTCAGCGCTGTCAGGTCATCTTATTCCTCACAAGCCCCTTCCCTCCCCATCCCCCCTGTCTCCCTGTCGCCTGGCGTGTGTGTGCCGTGTGCCGTGTGCTGCGGCCTGCCAGGACGTGGTAGACCTCCACGCAGCGTTGGTGCGAGTGCTGCAGGTCAGACCCACGCCCTTGCTTCTCGCATTCCAAGCTGCACACATTGGTGGAACAATTGATGCCTTTGTACAGCCTTGCGTGCTGCGGGACATGCAGCTCTCCACATTCACGCAATGTGCGCACATGCACTCCATTTTTCCATTGCCTGCTGCCACATCGCACGCTCGTCCCCTCTCCTCTTTCTCCACCTGCACGCACCCATCAAACGCACCCATCAAACGCACCCATCAAACGTACCCATCAAACGTACCCATCAAACTCACCCATCAAACGCACCATCAAACGCACCCATCAAACGCACCCATCAAACTCACCCATCAAACTCACCCATCAAACGCACCATCAAACTCACCCATCAAACGCACGTGCTGGCCCCTCATTTATTCCGTCTCTCCCAGATGGGGGCGGGTGCAGCTCTCTCCATGCAGCCAGAGGCGTCAGGCCAGTCGATGCAGTCGGCGCCCGGCCCTGCCATGTCAGAGTCAGCAGGCATGTCCGCGCCGGCCGCAGTGGGGCACGTACCAGGGTCGCACCTGGCGGGGTCGCTGGTGTCGGGTGCGGAGTCGCGGGTGCCGATCCCGTCAGACGGGCGGGACGACTGGGAGATCGACAGCCAGCAGCTCAAGCTGCACCACAAGATCGCCTCGGGCTCCTTTGGCGACCTGTCAGTGGCGGGCATGGCACACGGGGATGGGGGTTGGTTTAATTCGCTGTGTTTGAATCAACCTGCTTAGTGCCGTGTCCTGACTTCGTGTGCCTTTCACGGCATGGCATGGTGTGGCATGGCGTGGGCGTGGCATGACACGGCACCAGGTACCGCGGCACGTACTGTGGGCAGGACGTGGCGATCAAGATCTTAAAGCCCGAGCGGCTCAACGACTCCCTGCAACAGGAGTTTGCCCAGGAGGTGTACATCATGAGGTGAGGGGTGCATCATGAGGTGGGAGGGGTGTGAGGGGGGTGCATCATGAGGTGAGGGGTGCATCATGAGGTGAGGGGTGCATCATGAGGTGAGGGGTGCATCAGGAGGTGAGGGGTGCATCAGGAGGTGAGGGGTGCATCAGGAGGCGAGGGGTGCATGATGAGGTGAGGGTTCACGAAGTGTACATAATGGGCAAACTTATTGATGGTGTTGTCTTACATAATGCAATTTTGGGAAGTGTAGCTTGCCATGCCAGTGCCTGTTGACCCTCTTCCACCACCTCAGTGCACTCTGCTTGCGCCTCGTCCTGCTGCGCCTCGTCCTGCTGCCCCTCGTCTCTGTGTGTGGCATGACAACCCTTCACCTTAACAGGAAGGTTCGCCATAAGAACGTGGTTCAATTCATTGGAGCCTGCACGAAACCACCTAACCTCTCTATAGTCACAGGTATGCACAGCAACCACTTTGAAGTCATAGGTGCGCCACCAAACGGACATTCGAACCAGAGTAGGTTTTTGAACATCTTTCTAGTCACAGCATGCAGTAGCCACACAGAGGGGGTGGGGGGGGAGGCGGAATAAGAAGGGGCTACGTGGCAAGCATGGTTCGATACTTACAATATGTCACATACTCCCCCAGATGTTTGATACTGGTCCTGGTCAGATGTGAAGTATCAATGTGTTACTATAGTAAATTCAATACTAGCCAGAGGCTTGATACTTAGCTATTGTTTGGTATTTACCATATGTGTGCTGCGAAGCAGCTCTGCTCAAGTACAAAAAATGATTCTTAACCATAGGTTTGGTACATCCTGTTTAATGGTGCACCAAGGGGACTTGGTGAATTGAAGTTGAAGCTTAGGTAGACCAAGGGGACCAGACTCATTGGAGACAATGATGCCAAGGTGCCGGTGCACCCACTCATACCATGCCGGTGCACCCACTCATACCATGCTGCCATCGCCCCCCTCTGTGCCACCTTGCGTGCCATCTCTGTGCCACCTTGCGTGCATGGTTCATGTTGTTTCATGGTGGCCATGTGCGCAGAGTTCATGGTGGGCGGCAGCGTGTACGATTACATCCACAAGCAGCGCGGCAGCATGCGGCTGCCCATGGTGGTGCGCGTGGCGGTGGACGTGGCGAAGGGCATGGACTTCCTGCACAAGAACAACATCATCCACCGCGATCTCAAGGCCGCCAACCTCCTCATGGACGAAAACGAGGTGCGCCCACTGCCCACCCCCCACCCCGCTATTGACGAAAATGAGGTGCAGTGCGGAGGGGAGGGGTGAGAAGAAGGATGCCAGATGCAGTGGGGACGGTTGAGGATGAGGCAGGCACAGTGCTCCTCTCTGCTGCCCTGCAGGCACAGTGCTCCTCTCTGCTGCCCTGCAGGCACAGTGCTCCTCTCTGCTGCCCTGCAGGCACAGTGCTCCTCTCTGCTGGCCCTGCAGGCACAGTGCTCCTCTCTGCTGCCCTGCAGGCACAGTGCTCCTCTCTGCTGCCCTGCAGGCACAGTGCCTCCTTTGTGCTGCCCTGCAGGCACAGTGCTCCTTTGTGCTGCCCTGCAGGCACAGTGCTCCTCTCTGCTGGCCCTGCAGGCACAGTGCTCCTTTGTGCTGGCCCTGCAGGCACAGTGCTCCTTTGTGCTGCCCTGCAGGCACAGTGCTCCTCTCTGCTGCCCTGCAGGCACAGTGCTCCCTCTCTGCTGCCCTGCAGGCACAGTGCTCCTCTCTGCTGCCCTGCAGGCACAGTGCTCCTCTCTGCTGCCCTGCAGGCACAGTGCTCCTCTCTGCTGCCCTGCAGGCACAGTGCTCCTCTCTGCTGCCCTGGCAGGCACAAGTGCTCCTCTCTGCTGCCCTGCAGGCACAGTGCTCCTCTCTGCTGCCCCTGCAGGCACAGTGCTCCTCTCTGCTGCCCTGCAGGCACAGTGCTCCTCTCTGCTGCCCTGCAGGCACAGTGCTCCTCTGCTGCTGCCCTGCAGGCACAGTGCTCCTCTCTGCTGCCCTGCAGGCACAGTGCTCCTCTCTGCTGCCCTGCAGGCACAGTGCTCCTCTCTGCTGCCCTGCAGGCACAGTGCTCCTCTCTGCTGCCCTGCAGGCACAGTGCTCCTCTCTGCTGCCCTGCAGGCACAGTGCTCCTCTCTGCTGCCCTGCAGGCACAGTGCTCCTCTCTGCTGCCCTGCAGGCACAGTGCTCCTCTCTGCTGCCCTGCAGGCACAGTGCTCCTCTCTGCTGCCCTGCAGGCACAGTGCTCCTCTCTGCTGCCCTGCAGGCACAGTGCCCTCCTCTCCTGCTGCCCCTGCAGGCACAGTGCTCCTCTCTGCTGCCCTGCAGGCACAGTGCTCCTCTCTGCTGCCCTGCAGGCACAGTGCTCCTCTCTGCTGCCCTGCAGGCACAGTGCTCCTCTCTGCTGCCCTGCAGGCACAGTGCTCCTCTCTGCTGCCCTGCAGGCACAGTGCTCCTCTCTGCTGCCCTGCAGGCACAGTGCTCCTCTCTGCTGCCCTGCAGGCACAGTGCTCCTCTCTGCTGCCCTGCAGGCACAGTGCTCCTCTCTGCTGCCCTGCAGGCACAGTGCTCCTCTCTGCTGCCCTGCAGGCACAGTGCTCCTCTCTGCTGCCCTGCAGGCACAGTGCTCCTCTCTGCTGCCCTGCAGGCACAGTGCTCCTCTCTGCTGCCCTGCAGGCACAGTGCTCCTCTCTGCTGCCCTGCAGGCACAGTGCTCCTCTCTGCTGCCCTGCAGGCACAGTGCTCCTCTCTGCTGCCCTGCAGGCACAGTGCTCCTCTCTGCTGCCCTGCAGGCACAGTGCTCCTCTCTGCTGCCCTGCAGGCACAGTGCTCCTCCTCTGCTGCCCTGCAGGCACAGTGCTCCTCTCTGCTGCCCTGCAGGCACAGTGCTCCTCTCTGCCTGCCCTGCAGGCACAGTGCTCCTCTCTGCTGCCCTGCAGGCACAGTGCTCCTCTCTGCTGCCCTGCAGGCACAGTGCTCCTCTCTGCTGCCCTGCAGGCACAGTGCTCCTCTCTGCTGCCCTGCAGCACATGCTCCCTCTCTGCAGGCACAGTGCTCCTCTCTGCTGCCCTGCAGGCACAGTGCTCCTCTCTGCTGCCCTGCAGGCACAGTGCTCCTCTCTGCTGCCCTGCAGGCACAGTGCTCCTCTCTGCTGCCCTGCAGGCACAGTGCTCCTCTCTGCTGCCCTGCAGGCACAGTGCTCCTCTCTGCTGCCCTGCAGGCACAGTGCTCCTCTCTGCTGCCCTGCAGGCACAGTGCTCCTCTCTGCTGCCCTGCAGGCACAGTGCTCCTCTCTGCTGCCCTGCAGGCACAGTGCTCCTCTCTGCTGCCCTGCAGGCACAGTGCTCCTCTCTGCTGCCCTGCAGGCACAGTGCTCCTCTCTGCTGCCCTGCAGGCACAGTGCTCCTCTCTGCTGCCCTGCAGGCACAGTGCTCCTCTCTGCTGCCCTGCAGGCACAGTGCTCCTCTCTGCTGCCCCTGCAGGCACAGTGCTCCTCTCTGCTGCCCTGCAGGCACAGTGCTCCTCTCTGCTGCCCTGCAGGCACAGTGCTCCTCTCTGCTGCCCTGCAGGCACAGTGCTCCTCTCTGCTGCCACTGCAGGCACAGTGCTCCTCTCTGCTGCCCTGCAGGCACAGTGCTCCTCTCTGCTGCCCTGCAGGCACAGTGCTCCTCTCTGCTGCCCTGCAGGCACAGTGCTCCTCTCTGCTGCCCTGCAGGCACAGTGCTCCTCTCTGCTGCCCTGCAGGCACAGTGCTCCTCTCTGCTGCCCTGCAGGCACAGTGCTCCTCTCTGCTGCCCTGCAGGCACAGTGCTCCTTTGTGCTGCCCTGCAGGCACAGTGCTCATTTGTGCTGCCCTGCAGGCACAGTGCTCCTCTCTGCTGCCCTGCAGGCACAGTGCTCCTCTCTGCTGCCCTGCAGGCACAGTGCTCCTCTCTGCTGCCCTGCAGGCACAGTGCTCCTCTCTGCTGCCCTGCAGGCACCGCGCCGCCCTTGATGGCTGACGTCATCCCCATACCACCCGCATTCCCGTGCATCATCCCGTGCCCCCCATGCCCCGTGCCCCGTGCCCCATGCCCCATGCCCCATGCCCCATGCCCCATGCCCCATGCCCCATGCCCCATGCCCCATGCCCCATGCCCCGTGCCCCATGCCCCATGCCCCGTGCCCCATGCCCCGTGCCCCATGCCCCGTGCCCCATGCCCCATGCCCCGTGCCCCATGCCCCGCGCCCCATGCCCCGTGCCCCGTGTCCCATGCCCCGTGCCCCTTGCCCCGTGCCCCATGCCCCATGCCCCATGCCCCGTGCCCCATGCCCCGTGCCCCATGCCCATGCCCCATGCCCCGTGCCCCATGCCCCATGCCCTATGCCCCGTGCCCCATGCCCCATGCCCCGTGCCCCATGCCCCGTGCCCAATGCCCTGTGCCCCATGCCCCGTGCCCAATGCCCCATGCCCCGTGCCCCATGCCCTGTGCCCCATGCCCCGTGCCCCGTGCCCTGTGCCCCGTGCCCCATGCCCCGTGTCCCATGCCCCGTGCCCCATGCCCCATGCCCTATGCCCCGTGCCCCATGCCCCATGCCCCGTGCCCCATGCCCCGTGCCCAAAGCCCTGTGCCCCATGCCCCGTGCCCAATGCCCCATGCCCCGTGCCCCATGCCCTGTGCCCCATGCCCCGTGCCCCGTGCCCCATGCCCCGTGCCCCATGCCCCGTGTCCCATGCCCCGTGCCCCATGGCCCGTGCCCCATGCCCCATGCCCCATGCCCCGTGCCCCATGCCCCATGCCCGTGACGCCTCCCCCCCGGCGGCAGGTGGTGAAGGTGGCGGACTTTGGTGTGGCACGGGTGAAGGCGGGCAGTGGCATCATGACGGCCGAGACCGGCACGTACCGCTGGATGGCGCCCGAGGTGCGTACCGCTGGATGGCGCCCGAGGTGCGTACCGCTGGATGGCGCCTGAGGTGCGTACTGCTGGATGGCGCCCGAGGTACCGTGCGGTCATGGGGCATGCACTGGCTATGGTGTGATTGAGTGTGGGGGTATTGGCGGTACATGACCATACCCACATGAGTGGGTGCGGTACGATGGGTGCGTGCTGTAGGTCCGTTGCCTTCAAGCACACAGAGATTGCAGGATGTGGAGGATCTGCTCGCTCTGTGCTCCCCTTGGTGCTGGTTGCTGTTCCACCTGCATCAACCGCCCCTTGGTGCTGTTTGCTGTTCCACCTGCATCAACCGCCCCTTGGTGCTGTTCGCTGTTCCAACCTGCATCAACCGCCCCTTGGTGCTGGTTGCTGTTCCACCTGCATCAACCGCCCCTTGGTGCTGGTTGCTGTTCCACCTGCATCAACCGCCCCTTGGTGCTGGTTGCTGTTCCACCTGCATCAACCGCCCCAAAACTCAACCGCCCGTGTACCATGTGCGCCGCGCATGGCAGGTGATCGAGCACCGCGCGTACGACCACAAGGCGGATGTCTTCAGCTTTGGCATCACGCTCTGGGAGCTGCTCACGGGGAAGGTGAGAGGGGAGGTGCTCACAGGGAAGGTGAGAGGGGAGGTCATGGGGAAGGTGAGAGGCAAGGAGTTGTGAATGGAGGGCAAGGTGTCATCAGGGTTTGCTCATGAAGTCGTTTCTGAGAGACCTGAGAGAACATTTGTATGAGTCGTTTCTCCTGTGCATAAGCAGTCATTTTTGATGCATGTGTCGCAGCTTACGTGTGTCTGGGGTCGTGTGTGTGCCTGTGGCCGTGCCTGTGCGTGTGGCCTCTCCATGCAGCTGCCATACGCGGATCTCACACCCCTGCAAGCCGCTGTCAGCGTGGTTCAGAAGGTGAGGAGGGGTCGTGGGGAGTGGAGGGCGGTGATGCATGCTCTATGTTCTGCACCGCGCCGCACACGTTGCACCGAGCCACACCCTCTTCAGTGACGCTCTTGCTCTCACCCCCCCCCCACCGCCCCCAGGGTCTGCGGCCGGCCATCCCGAAGGGCACGCACCCGCGGCTGGCGGAGCTGATGGCGCGGTGCTGGCACTCCAACCCAGTGGAGCGCCCTGAGTTCAGCCACGTCCTCCGCATGCTCTCTGACATGGCGCACGAGGTGAGTGAGAGGTCATGCTGGCAGACACTTTTTGAAAAGGAGGTGGCAATGCCGTCCCTTTTTCCCACTCCTTTCACCCCACTCCTTTCACCCCACTCCTTTCATCCCACTCCTTTCACCCCACTCCTTTCACCCCACTCCTTTCACCCCACTCCTTTCACCCCACTCCTTTCACCCCACTCCTTTCATCCCACTCCTTTCACCCCACTCCTTTCACCCCACTCCTTTCATCCCACTCCTTTCACCCCACTCCTTTCACCCCACTCTTTTCACCCCACTCCTTTCATCCCACTCCTTTCACCCCACTTCCTTTCACCCCACTCCTTTCACCCCACTCCTTTCACCTCACTCCTTTCACCCCACTCCTTTCATCCCACTCCTTTCACCCCACTCGTTTCCCACCAAACTTTCCCCCTTTTCCCCCTCTTCCACGTTCCATCCCCTCTCTCTCCCTCTCTGTGTGCCCCTACCCTCGGTGTGCGTGCCGTGAGTGTACCGCGCTGGCAGGTGGAGGATGAGGGCGAGGGCGAGCACAGGCGGCGGGAGAAGAGAGCGGCTTCTTTTGCCTCGCTCAAGCGCACCGGGGCAGGCGGCAAGTGACAGGCACGGGGGGCAAGTGACACGCGCTGGGGGCAATTGACAGGGGCAGGGGGCAAGTGACAGGGCAGGGGGCAAGTGACAGGGGCAGGGGACAGGTGACAGGCGCAGGGGGCAGGTGACAGGCGCAGGGGCAAGTGACAGGGGCAGGGGGCAAATGACAGGGGCAGGGGGCAAGTGACAGGCGCAGGGGGCAAGTGACAGGGGCAGGGGGCAAATGACAGGCGCAGGGGGCAAGTGGCAGGGCAGGGGGCAAGTGGCAGGCGCAGGGGGAAAGTGTGGCAGGGGCAGGGAGGAGCAGGCGGAGGGGTTGTGGTGTTGGGGGGGGGGGAGAGGACTGGAGACGTAACACGAGCTATGTGGGAGCAGCGCGGTGCACGCCCTTGCATTCGCACGAGTGCTTGTATGCGTGGATGCAACATGTGCACGTGCTTGTTTATGATGTGTGGGCTCACTTTCTAGAGTGGTCTAGCAGCAGCGTGAATGCAGTGGAGCAGCACTGCGAGGGGGAGTGCAGAGCCAGTAGGCAGAGCCATCTTGCGCTGCCATGCCGCACACAGGGACAGGAGGGCAGAAAGGCAGCGAGCGAGTACTTCAAATGCTATCACATACTGGAGGGCAAGAGGGAGAAGGACAGAGGGGGGTGTGGAAGCAGCAAATGGCGTGTTGCTGCTGCCAGCAATTTTGACAGTCCTTGGCGACTGGGTTCCAGGCTGGCTTGTGCCCTCACCTCCACACTTTTCGTCATGGCCCCCTCTTGGGATGCCCTCATGCCGTCATCTCCTCCGTGCATTCGCCTTCATGACAAGACATGGCTTGGGCAAAAACAATGCCAGCTGGCCCCAATTTTGCAGATTAGAGGGAAATAACACATAACATGTTGCAAATGTAGATTGTGAGAGCTTGGCTGATTCGAACAGTGGTAATCAGGCCCCCAAATTGGTTTTGGGGGTGTCTGATTCGTCAGGCTTGCCTGCAATTCCTTGGTTTGGCGTAATGGTCTGAAACGACCGTCATTCACAATGTTGGAAGGATGATGTATTGTTTCAGCTGGCTTATTTTCCTGGCTTGCTTGTCTATGAAATGCTTGAGATAATGATTTGGGATGTTCTTAATAGAGTTAAACGGTATGAGCCCCTTCCCTTATACAGGATATGTACGGCAATCAGGTGTATGCAACACAATGAGGTGGCCAGAAAATTCTGGCGACTGCAGCGAGCAACAGCCCCCCACCCACAGCACTGTAGCAGGGCTAATTTTTCGTTTTTCCAAGACCCAGGGTTCTCAGGGTTCTCGTCACTAAAGATCCTGGAAAATCAGAATTCCCGGGAAAATCTCTCTTCATTAAAGTTTTTCTACGAACTCAGAGTGTTTTTTGGACGCCCTGCATCAGTAGAACCTGTGGGCAGTCGGAGTCCTCACAAGCGGGAAAGACTTAGATGGAAGTGACTATGGAAGAGAATACGAACACACAATTGCAGCTACTGCTGTCCCTCACCACCACACCAAGGTCGACACTTTGCATGTCCAACCTGGCTAAGGGCGTGTGATTGGTCTGACCGCCCTGCACTTAGTGCGGCTGTGTAGTTCCACTGGTCGCACCTTCAGATTGCATGGAAAATTAGTCAGGGGAGCATGGGGTGTAGAGGGGAAGATGTGGCAGAGAGGTGGGGGTTTGCACTGCTGGCACGGGTGATTTTACATGCCAGTCCGATGGCCAGGAGAAATCATCGTGCAGACCGGATTGATCAGGGACTTCCTTGAAAACGTCCGAAATCAGTCAGAGATTTGGGAGTCTGAAAACCTCAAAATCTGGATTTCATCGAGAAAGACCCGAAATGTACATGAAATTCTGGATGTTTACCCTTGAACCGAGAGCCCTGCACTGAAGGCGTGGAGCTGGCCTTGAACGTCCTTTGGCGGGTAAAGGACGAAGTCTTGAACACTGTTCGGACGACCATTCGCCACACTTCCCGGTTTTTTGTTCGCTTCCTCACAACAGTTGTCATTTCGCCTGTCGTCGCCCCAAACGATCTCGAAGTTTGATTGGCGTTCGATCTCTCGCTTCTGCCCCCCGCCCCCCCGTCACTGCCTCGGCTGACTGCACAGACCGAACCCAGCGCGCCAGTTGGCGAGGCACTCGTGGGCGCGGACAGACGAATTGTCGCGAGGGCGGGCGTGCAGCGTGCGCAAGTGGAGGCGGCGGAGCAGGTTGGGGAGGAATCGTGCAACGGGCTGGATTGGCCTTCGACGGGGCGGGGCTTGCTGAGTTCTGGCGGCGGAGAGAGTGCTGCTGCTGGCGCTGGCTGCTGCTGGCGGGGGATCCACCACCAGGTGCAGATTCCGCGCCACTCCATCCACACAATCCCACCTTCCAAAGCCGGCAATTCGTGCTCAGAAAAGATAAGGGCAAACCACCTTCACCGCACATCTAAGTTTCTTGCCATATTTCGCCTCCTACTGTTCCTCACCGACGACTGCTACTTGCAACACCCCAGACCCCCAGTCAAGCTTAGATGCTGGGAGAGCGAGCGGTAGCAGAGCGAGTGATTGAAGTCTGCCGTATTTCTCGCGCGAGCCCTGGCTCTAATGCCTCAACCTCGTGAGAGATGAGCCAAGGCAAAAGGAGAGTAAGGAACCGAGAAAGAAGTAGGAGAGGCGAGAGAGAAAGTGAGCAGCGGAGAGGTGTACGGGGGAGGGAGAAGGGAAGGGTGGAAGTGGAGATAAGGAGAACAGAGGGGCAGGAGATAATAGTGTAACAGTCGTTCCTGTTCAGAAGAAAACGACAAGGGATAAAAGTGCTCGCAGTCCTACTCACCCTCCTCCTTTCCCGCGCGCTTGTCTCGTTACTCTACTCTCTCCGTCAACCTTTGAACTTCGAAGTTCGCTCGTCCCTCTGCCCTCGCCTCTTATCCTCGCCCTCCCAGGGCGAAGCTATCCGGTCGCCCCCCTGATCCACCCTTCCACGTGCCTGCCGCCAGCGTGGCTTGTGCGCACGGCGGGGGTAACGTCTGCGGACGTTGGAACGCAGCCGCTGCGACTCTAGACACAACTCGTGGGAGGAGCGTATGAAGGCCACCGCTGCGTTTACGCTTGAACCCTTCGCTCGACTCTCGCCCTATGATCCTCCCCACCCGCATGCCTGCTTGCTTCCACACCCATCTCCATTTGCAGCACCCCCAGCAGCGGCAGCAGCGGCAGCAGCGGCAGCAGCAGCAGCAGCAGCATGGATGCACCCAGTGCGGCAGCAGCGTCACCGTCACCAGCTGCAGCAGCAGCAGCGGGCAGCATGACATCATTCCCTGCGGCGCAGGCCTTGCCCGTACCTGCCAGCGCCATGTCTCCCGCCTACCACCTCCTCTACTCGCAACTCGTCGCCGCCTCTGCTGGCCCTCACCAGTGCACATCCCCATCCGCCCCATCGGCCCCATCAGCGCCTTCAGCCCCCACGCCCATGTGGCCCCATCTGTCGCCGTCCCCCGCCCTGCCCTCCGCATACTTCCCCTTCAGCCCGCCCGCCGCCGATGGCCTGCCGCCCTTCCCCTTCACCCCGCCGCCACACGTGCCTGCGCCCTCCACGCCCCACCCGGCAGCGTCAGGCGCCGGCGCCGCTGCCTCTGGAGGCACCGCAGCGCAGGCGGCAAGGCGGCCGCACGCAGGTGACGGCTCCAGTGACCTGGGCAGCAGCCGCGACGGCGGTGGCACGGGCGTGGGCGCGGGTGGGGAAGCTGAAGCTGTGGAGCCGGCGTTGGCGCGGCGCACGACGACCAGCCTCTCCCTGGCGGCCGGCTTCCACTCCACCTCGCCCGCTGCTGCCGCCGCTGGAGGCAGTGCGCTGCCGCCCAGCGAGTGGCGGCAGCACCACATGGCGCAGCAGCAAGAGATGGCGCAGGGGGAACCGTTTGCTGGTGGCCAAGGGAATGCAAACTCGGCTTACCTCACAGGCACGTTGGGACTAGGAGGGGAGGCAGTGGGGCAACACGTGGCACCAGGCAGCGTGGGGTGAAGGACCGTTTCCACTGGCACATCGTGTCCTCCAAGCGCCGTCCCGCCCCTGTCGCCAGGCTCCTGTGCGCCATCTCCTTCTCCTGCATGCCTCACCTCCCTTCCCCCTGCCTTTCCCCTCCCTTCTCCCCTCCCCCCCCCTTGAGCGCAGATCTGCTGCAGCAGGCGCAGGCGCAGCTGGCGGACTTGGACCAGGCGGGCGCCAACCTGCGCCTGCTGGGCCTCACCCTGCCCTCCGCCGACCCCTCCCTGCCTCTAAGCCACCCGCCCGCACCAGGCCCCCACTCCGCACATCTCCACACCCAATCACTAGCGCAGCAGCAGCAGCAGCAGCAGGGGGCATCGGGGCAGGGCGTGCAGCTGCCCCTGCAGGTACTCATGCAGCTGCACGGCCTCGTGCAGACCCCCCCCGCCACCGCCCACCCTCCCACGCACCCCTTTGCCGCCCACCAGCAGCAGCAGCAGCAGCAGCAGCAGCAACAGCAGCATTCCCCAGCACAGGTGGCGCAGGCACTGGCTCTGGCGCTGGGGGCCGGGGGGGAGGGCGCACTCGAGGGGCAGGGCGTGGGGCGTGGGGGGCTGGATGTGGGCGCGGGCATGATGGGGAGAAACAGCTTCGCCTTGGGGAGTGGCGCTGGGGTGGGGGAAGCAGTGGGGGGGCGATGGGGAGGGGCGTGGGGGGCAGCAGCGCTGGGGGGGGTTACAGCAGCCGCGTACAGCAGGGGCTGCTGGCTGGTGCAGCATCCCCTGGGGGGGAATTTGAGGTGAGTGCAGGAATGGGGGGGTTTGGGCGGATGGGCGAGGGCGTGGGGAGTGGTGGGCGCGGGCAGGCGGAGGGGCAGCTGCTCCCGCAGCACTGGATGGCGGGCGGGGGGGCGCACGCAGGGGTGGGAGGGGCGCATGGAGGGACAGGGCAGAGCACAGAGGGCACAGAGGGCACAGAGGGCACAGAGGGCATGGTGAGTGGGTGGTTGGCACAGAGGAGAGGAGTGACGGCAGCTACCCACACAGTTCCCTGCGTGCTCTGCTCTCCCTCTCTTCCCCTTCCAACCCACACCGCCCCTCCTCTCCCATTCACCCTGCCCCTCTGATCGCTCCTTTCCCTCATTCCTCCCCCCCCCTCTCCCCCCCCTCTGCAGCCGCCGTCCGCCTTGTCCCCTCAGTCCGCCCCATCGCCCTCCGTCCCCCTGCTCTCCCCGCGCGCGCCTCGCTTCAGCCCCAGCGGCGCACACCGCCCAGTGGGAAGGGCACTAGGTGCAGCAGGCACAGGGGAGGAGGGGGGTGCGGGGCCGGCAGAGAGGGGGGAGGCGGGGGTAGGGGGGTCGAGTGTGAGCGGGGGCGGCAACGGCAAGCGGCAGGCACGAGCGGCGGCGGTGGCAGATGGCGTGCTGTGCAAGGTGCGCGCCAAGCGCGGCTGCGCCACCCACCCTCGCTCCATCGCCGAACGGGTGAGCGGGGGGAGGCTGGGGGGGAGAGGGAGGGGTCAATTGGTGAGCTGCTGAGGGGAGGAGGGGGAGGGATTGACTTGAAATTGAGAGGGGTGGGCGAAAGCGAGAGACGGTAGGGAGGGACCATGAAAGTAGGGATGGGTGGATGTTTGGTTGCGGATGGGAAAGGGGGAAGGAGAGGCACGAATTTGTCGTCGGTGTATCCTGTGGCTCCACACGCTCCTGTGGCTCCACACGCTCCTGTGGCTCCACGCGCTCCTGTGGCTCCACATGCTCCTGTGGCTCCACGCGCTCCTGTGGCTCCACACGCTCCTGTGGCTCCACGCGCTCCTGTGGCTCCACACGCTCCTGTGGCTCCACACGCTCCTGTGGCTCCACACGCTCCTGGGCTCCACACGCTCCTGTGGCTCCACACGCTCCTGTGGCTCCACACGCTCCTGTGGCTCCACGCCGCTCCTGTGGCTCCACACGCTCCTGTGGCTCCACACGCTCCTGTGGCTCCACACGCTCCTGTGGCTCCACACGCTCCTGTGGCTCCACACGCTCCTGTGGCTCCACGCGCTCCTGTGGCTCCACACGCTCCTGTGGTTCCACGCGCTCCTGTGGCTCCACACGCTCCTGTGGCTCCACACGCTCCTGTGGCTCCACGCGCTCCTGTGGCTCCACACGCTCCTGTGGCTCCACACGCTCCTGTGACTCCACGCGCTCCTGTGGCTCCACACGCTCCTGTGGCTCCACACGCTCCTGTGACTCCACGCGCTCCTGTGGCTCCACACACATGCTTCCGTGCCTTCAAACATGCCCCATTCCGCCTTCTCCCCCTGCCACGCTGTTGCACCTCAGCGTACCTCATCACGCCGTACTCTCCACCTTGCGACTCAATCTACCACATTGCACCACAGCTTACCACATGGCGCCTCAACTTACCACATGACGCCTCAGCTTACCACGTTGCACCTCAACTTTCCACATTGTATGTCTATGCACTGCCCTGCACCCCATGTGCACGGACCTCCTTTCCCCATGCGCACGGCACTGTTACCCCATGCGTGCACTGGCTGGCATTGCTTGTATCAGGTGCGGCGGTCGCGCATCAGCGACAAGATGAAGCTCCTGGCGGACCTCATTCCGGGCATGGACCGGCAGGTGAGGTGAGGTGGGGTGGACCTCATTCCGGGCATGGACCGGCAGGTGAGGTGAGGTGGGTGGACCTCATTCCGGGCATGGACCGGCAGGTGAGGTGAGGTGGGTGGACCTCATTCCGGGCATGGACCGGCAGGTGAGGTGAGGTGGGTGGACCTCATTCCGGGCATGGACCGGCAGGTGAGGTGAGGTGGGTGGACCTCATTCCGGGCATGGACCGGCAGGTGAGGTGAGGTGGGTGGACCTCATTCCGGGCATGGACCGGCAGGTGAGGTGAGGTGGGTGGACCTCATTCCGGGCATGGACCGGCAGGTGAGGGCGGTGGAAGGGGACGGCAGGTGAGCAAGGCACAAAAAAACGGATTCCGTATTATACAGTCCGAATACTACGGTCGTTCTGTTTGGTGAATTTGGGAAAAGAACGTCGTTTTTAAAAACGAAATCACTACCTTGAAAATAACTCATTTTTCTATCTCAAACATCTCATGGCATTATCCCTGAGGCCTAGGGCCGTTATGGGATCTACAGTTCTCCGACCTCTCTACGAGGTGAGGTCATCTACCCTCCCCTATCCATGCGTTGTGTTATAAGTTGGAAGACCTAGAAAGCAGATGTGAAACGAGTTGAAATGCTTCAGGAATGTGAGTACCTGTTTGACGTTGGGCGATGTTTGAATGTGGAATGTTAGAGAGGTTTGGTGAAGAGAATGGGAGGTACAGACTAGGGTTGGTATAATCGCGTCGCTGATGCATCGCAAGTGTCGCGCTATGCGCGAAAACATCGTTGCAGGTCGCGAAGATGTACACCGGATCGCAACGGCTTCGTCAATTGAGTGAAAAACACGAACTGACAGTTTGGGATTTCACCCTTCAGGGAAACGTTGACCCGACAGCCAGCTTCGTTTTTTACCAGGCATAAACCAGCCCCGGAAATTCGCATTCCCGATGTACGTCGACATAATTTTGGCTGAAAAAAAAAAGACCGAAAACAAACAATCGTTTTTTTTTTTTTTAAGGAGACAAAAAAAAGACAATTTAACCGTTTTTATCGGTCGAAAACGTCGGTACCGTACAGAACGGGGAAAAAAAGGCCGTTTTTTTGTGCCTTGCAGGTGAGGGCGGTGGAAGGGGATGGCAGGTGAGAGGGGTGGAAGGGCAGGGCAGGTGAGGGGGTGGAAGGGCAGGTGTGGGTGGGAGGAAGGGCAGTGACAGGGGGATTGAGCGGCGGGCACGGCTGGTGCACATGCGGTGTGTGAGGCAAGCAGTTGCGCTGTGACGCTGGTGGGCCCGGCATCACCCCCGTTGTGTTTCCCCCCTGCTGGAACAAATCGCCCTTCTCCGGTTCTGCCCCCCTGTGTGCCTCTCATTGCCGTCCACTGTGTTATTATCCATGACCCTCTCCCACCGGCTGACTCGTTTTTGTGTACCATGCATGGCACGTGCGCATATGCGTGTTAATGTGTGCGTGTGGGGCGTGGATGCGCCAGGTGAATGCGGCAGACATGTTGGAGGACGCCATAGAGTATATCAGGCACCTGCAACGCCAGATGGAGGTGGGTGAGGCAGGTAGCACCAGGTGCAGGTATGTCAAGGGCCACCGGTGGGAGCCACCGGCGGGAGGGGGCATGCATGTGGCAGCAGGTGCGGCGGGCCTAGTCTCCAATCAGAAAAGCTGCACGTGAACACTGCCCGCTGCATACCGGCACCTTACTCCCTAAGGCATTCCCGTACCATGCCATGCCATGCCATGCCATGCCATGCCGTGCCATGCCATGCCGTGCCATGCCATGCCATGCCATGCCATGCCATACCATGTGCCTGTTACCTTCTCTCTGTCGTCGACTGGAAGCCCCACAGGCTAATGCTGCCATCCCCGCGTCTCCATGGCCCCCTTGCCCCCCCAGGCGGTGCGCCTGCTGCACCCCAACGTGCGCGTGGAGCCCTTCGTGAGCCGCCTGGACAGCCAGCAGGGGGCTGCCAGGGCCGACGACGCAGGGGAGGACGGCAGGGACTGGGGCTGGGGGAGCGAGGGGATGGGGGGGGAGCAGAGGGAGATGGGGAGAGGATGGAGAAGACAAGGGATGGTCAGCTTGCAACAAGGTCTCTCGCAGTGGCGGGCAGAGGGGATGGCGACGAACTTGAGGATGTGAAGGATGTGCTTGTGGGACTAGAGGCACGGAATATAAGAGATGGCGGGAGTGGGGGAGGTAGGGGTGTGGATAAAACAGACGATCAACACACTCTGCAGCAGGACAGGTTAAGCCTATCTATCACTTGAATGCAGAGTGTTCAACCTTCCATGCTGGATTGAAATGGTTCTTCTGCATTCATCCCCTTTTGGTTGAGCCAGCAGCAACATTCAGCCAGCTCGCTGTCCCGGTTAAAGCCCAGGCCCCAAATTAGTCTAGCAGGCATAAAACTGGGCCCAGTTTGATGCTGACCGCACTCGCGAAGCACCCAATGAAAAAAATAACCAACTACCCCTTCGCCAAAGTGAGGCGAAATCGAGGTTGGGATATCCACTGGAAATTTCGTCAGCAAACAAGGCCCAGTTTGATTCGTGCAGTTTCCGCTGTTGGTTCGGGCTTCCCAAACCCCAACTCCCACAAAACCGTGCTCTCGCTAGTTTTCCAATCGACGGATACGGTATTACTGTGCTTACAAATTGGGACTTCATGTGTCCCTGCGTCTCAGCCATCAGATCCGCGTTGGGCCCAACTTGATCTCCCCCCAAATCAAACTGGGCCCAGTTTGCATACGAAATCCTGCACGAAGTAACATCATGACATGATTTTGCACTCAATAACACAATTGTTTCTTCCACCGAGCCAGCCCAAATTCTGCCCGTTGACTTGTGTGAACTAATTTGGGATCTGGGCTTTAAAGCACGCGAAAAAAATACCTTCAGGTTCAAAGGACCTTGAACCTTGCCAAGTGTTTTCTATCGCGGCTGGTTCTCAGAGTAACGGATTGCCTAGAATGGGAAGTACAGGGTGAGTTTGTACTAGTGTGTTGTACCATGCACCTATCTAGCCTATAATAACATCTACAAATATGTTTGACACACCCCCTAGGCTAGAGAGGGGCAGTGCTTAGCAAGAGGCACTCAGCTCAGGGTGGCACTACTAGTCCAACCTCTGAGGCAAGGGTCCGAAGACCAGTCAGCAGGAGAAAAAAACCAAACAAGAGTACTGTAGGGCGGCACCACCAGCCCAGCCACTAGAATAAGAGCCACACGGCCAGTCAGGATAATATAAGAAGTACACAATGAAGGTCATAGGAAGTGAAAAGCTACAAGAATAAGACCAAGCTGTACACAGTGCCGCTGATGATCTTTAGGCGCAAGCGCCTTAGTAAAGATATCAGCTGTATTGGCACCGGAGGCCAAGTTTACAATCGCGTGCCTGGTGGCGCTACTGTAGCTCGCGCAGGAGGAAGTATCGCAGTTGAATGTGATTCGCTTTGTCCTCCAGACGAGGCTCCTGACACAGGAGGATCATGGCCTTGTTGTCAGCGTACAGGACCAGGGCAAGCTAGGCCGCTCACCTAAGTCTCTGAGCAAGAAAGTCAGCCAGCGGAGCTCTTGTGCCGCCATGGCACCAGCGTAGATCTTAGCCTCACAGCTAGACTGGGCAACAGACGAGGAGCGAGTCGACCTCCACGAGTTGGCGCCCGCACCAAGGCTAAAGCAGTAGCCCTGGGAGGACCTGAGCATCTCAGCGTCGTCTGCCTACGAAGCGTCTGAGTGCCCTGTAAGGACCACTGGCCAGTGTCCTCCTAACGCTAACCCCATCCCCCATGTACTTGTTAGATAACGCAAAACCCTAGTAGCGGCCAACCGGTGTTGTGGTCGGTGTCTGCCTGTGGCCACAAAGTGAGCCAGGATGCCGAGAGGGTATGCGAGATCAGGACGAGTGCAAGTCATCAGGTATATGAGGCAATCCACCAGCTCTGCGTAAGGACCACTAGGCTCTACTGACTCCTCAGGAACTTGAGCAGAGAGCCTATGGTCTACTGGCAGAGGTGTAGGCTGTGCGGAGGAGAACTGAAGACCGAACCTTTGAAGGACCTGGCGCACCAAGTGTGACTGTGTGAGAGTGATGGTGCGCACTGTTCTGTCATTGGAGATCTACAAGCCAAGGTAGCAGCGCAACTCTCCTAGGTCAGTGCAGGTGTGTCTCCTCAGCAGCTCTGCCTTCACGGAGGCCAGTGCGTCTCTGTCTGCAGTAGCAAAGACCAGATCGTCTACGCAAACAAGGATGTAGAACGGAGTCTGGCCGGAGCGGACGAAGAGCGAGGGGTCCGCAGACGACGGCAAGAATTGCATGTCAGCAAGTGTAGCACACAGCGTGTCGTGCCACTCACGGGGCGCTTGGCACAGGCTGTAGACAGGGCGCCGAAGGGGCCACTCAGTACCAGGGGGCAAGGTACCGGAGTAGCCCTGGGGGCGGTGCAGATAGACCTGCTCGTGTAGACTGCCTGGAGGTAGACCAGGATGTAGAACGGAGTGTGGTCAGCACGAACGAAGAGCGAGGGGTCTACAGAGGACGGAAAGAGCTGCAGGTCAGCTAGTGTAGCACGCAGCGTGTCGTGCCACTCATGGGGCGCCTATCGTAGGCCGTAGACTGGGCGCCGGAGGAGGCAATGGATCCCAGGAGGGAAGGAATCGGTGAAGCCCTGTGGACGGCGCAGGTAGACCTGCTCGTGTAGACTGCCCTGGAGCAACGCGATAGAGAAGTCGAGGGAGTGTAACTCGTAGTCCACGTTGTGCTGCTACGTGTAGCAACGCCCAAGAGTAGTCATCTTAGGGGGTCGGGGCAGAAGTCCGAAAGAATTCCACCCCCTCACGCTTTCTGAAGCCTCTGGCAACGTAGCACGCCTTGAACATTGGCAGCACTTTAGGAGGGCGCTTCACCATGAAGAGCCACCGGCCATCGACTACGTTCACCCCAGGTGGGGAACTGCGTCGACGTAGGTGCCGGTGGATATCTAAGATGCCATCTCCGCGTTCATGGCAGCTATCCATTGAGAGGCCCAGAGTCCCGAGGTCGCCTCAGCGTACTGTAAGTGCGAGGGGTCGGGATGTCAAAGGTGTCTCGGTCACCATCAAGGACTAGCAGCATGGAGCAGAGATGAGGAGTGGTCTCAGACAGGAAATCGAGCTCGTACTGCCGGTCCTCCAGGACATCACTGCCAAGGGATAGAGCACCCCCGACAGACGAAGGACGGGTAGGGCCAGAGACCAGAGCGGTGGCATAGTCAAGGCGGTGAGTAGAGGCAAAGTTAGTGACGGCAGCGACACGAGCGTCAAGACTAGAGGCAGGAACGGACGGATCGGAAACAAGGGAGGCAAGGACCCGAGGAACAAGAGCACTAGCTGCACAAACGAAGTCAAACAGGGGAGCCGGAGCAACAACATGCGATGACGAAGGAGGCGACGGGAGGAGGGAGGACGAGACACGTGGGAACGGAGCAACATAGGGCGAGAGCGCTGAACCGGAGAGACATGACGACCACGAGAGGGACGGCGAGACCAGAAGTGGGACAGAGGCATCGGGTCAGGGTACACAGACGGACACACAGGAGGAGAACGAGGGGGGAAACGAGCCGGAGACGAGTCTGGCGGAGGAAACACAGGGCCGTAGACATGCGGCGGAGGCGAAGGCGGGTGGTCAGGGGAAGGAAAACCGAGGAGGCGAAGGGCAGACACCGGCGACGACTGCTGTTGCTGCGCCGCACCAACACAAAAACCTCCAGCTGCACCACGGCTACTTCCAGGACGCTTCACGATAGCACCCCCAGAACGAGAACCCTCTCCATCACCGGTGCCACCCCCAAACCACCGAGACAAGCCACAACAGTACCTCCAGGAATAGCACCCCCAGAACCAGCACCCCCAGAATGAGAACACTCTCCAGCTCCGGTGCCACCCCCAGGATCGCCGGGACAAGCCACGACAGTACCCCCACGACTAGCACCCTCCTCAACGCCCGCACCCCCAGAGCTCGCGGACCCCTGCAGTGGCTGCTGCTGTGGCGGCGACGACGGCGGCTGCTGCTGCGGCTGCGACGTCGGCGACTAATGCTGCGGCTGCGGTGGTGACTGCGGCTGCTGCGGCGGCAGCAAAGGAGGAGACACCGGGGCAGAGGCTGGAAGCGAAACCAAAGCCGTGGGGCCCCAGGAGTCAACAGATTGCTCCACCGGGACAACCGACGGGAGGGGAGTGACATGAGACACACTAGACGGGGCAGAATGGGGAGGAAGAGGAGTAGGGGCTACCGTGGGAGTGGGGACCAGGAGCAAGGGCGGGTCAACCGGTAGACCGCGGTAAGGAAAGCGGGTGTAGAAGGAGACACACTCGTCAAAATTGACGTTACGAGAGTGAAAGAAACGGTGAGACGGCGTGTGGTAAAAGTGCCAGTCAGATGCATCGAGGGGGAAACCAAGGAAGACACAAGGGACGGTGCGCATCGTGAGCTTGTCCATGCCAGAGGCACAAACGTGAGCAAGGCAGCCCTAGACGTGGAACGCATACGCGTCACCAGGGAAGCCGGTCCAGAGAACGGTCGGCGAAACCTGCGGCCGCTGGGAGTGTGGCCATTAGGTTAAGCTAGTGAGCGGCGTAGCGAACCGCGAACGAGCACAGAAAATGGGGTGCACCGACATCGATTATGGAGGCACGAGCCACCCGCATGACCAAACCGATGTATCGCTCAGTGACCCCATTCTGCTGCGGGGAGTCCGGCAGGGTGTATGACTGGGTTGATGCCCTCCGCACGACAGAAGTGGCCAAGCCGATTGGAGGCGAACTCGCCACCACGGTCAGAGAAAAGACGCAGCATAGGGAGGCTGCGATGGACTCGCGCAGCTACAACCCACGGGATAGGAACGTCAGGCATGTCGGCCTTACGCTCAAGGGGAAACACCATGGTGTAGCACGTGTAGTCATCGACAAGCACTAGAAAGTAGCGCTCTCGACGTGGCCCAGGGACGGGGGCTGGGCCCCAAACATCCAGGTTCAGGGTCTGGAGTGGCGGAGTGGTAGGGGGAAGCAAAGAGGAGTGAGGAGCATGGCGCAGCCGGCCCTCGGTGCAAGGCGTGCACGGCGGTGCAGGTGAGGGAGGGAGGGCAGAGAGCGACGCAGGGAAACCGAAGATAAGACCCGTAATGGGACATGTGACGCAGACGTGAGAGTGCGGTGTGACCTAGGCGGTGGTGCCACAGCAGCGACGGTGGGTGAGCGACTGACACGAGCAAGCCGCAGCAACCTGGGAGGACGCGACGACCTGGGGGGATGCTGTGAAAGGGCACCAGTGGTGGCCTTGGTACCGATTGCTTACCGCTCGTGTCCAGGAAGCGTAGTGGTG